TAGGGTCCAGAGCCATCAGGCCCAGGTTGAGACCACTGAACATGCCCGAGAGGCACAGGAGGAGAGAGATGAAGATGACTTGCAGCCAGAAGGGCAGCAGGAACTTCTTCTCCTCACCCACGATCATCTTGGTGTCCTCGCCGTCGTGGTAGATCCAGGTGGTCTCACCCCAGGGCGGGGGTCCCGCCGGCCCCTCGGCGCCAGCCAACCCCCCGGGAGCGCCGGGCCCCAGGGCGGCGGCGGCGGGGGCCGACACGGAGGTGCACAGGTAGTAGGACTTGCTCTTTTCCGTCTTGCGCAGGGGCTTGATCTCGATCTCGATGATGCCCGAGGTGCGGCGGTTGAGCACGATGTGCGGCAGGATGATGATGTCCGAGGTGCGGATGCCGCAGCGCTGCGGGGCCCCGCCGCCGCTCGCCGCCACGCCGCCGGCCCCGCCGGCGCCGCGCCCCGCCGGCCCCGCCGCCGCCCGCCCGCCCCGCCGCCGCTCGTGCTCCGTGAAGGCGATGCGCGACCACGTCTCGTTGTTGATGTTCTGCCCGTAGACCCGCAGCTTCACCCGCGTCCGCTCGCTCACCCGCAGCGCGCCCCCCTCCATGAAGGAGACGTCGTCCGTGTCCTCCAGCCGCAGGCCGATGATCACCGTCTCCTCCGCCGCCGGCGGGGGCACGACGGCGGCGGGCGGCGCGGCGGCGGCGGCGGCCGGGGGCCGCCGGCCCAGGTAGCCGCCGAGCAGCAGCAGCAGCAGCAGCACCCGCGCCCCCCGGCCGCCCCCCGCCATGTTCCCACCGGGCAGCGCGGCCATCTTTAGTCAGGGCTCGGCGCCGCCGCGGCCCTGCATCGCCGCGCGAGCACTGCGGCGTGCCCCGGCTCTCCCGGCGGCGGCGGTGGCGGCGGGCGCGGCGGCGGCGGGCGAGGCGCGGGCTCTGCTGCCCGCGGGACCCGACGAGCGGCGACTGCCGGGCCGGGCCGACCAGCGCCGCCTCTACCCGCGCCCGCCCCGCCCCGGCCCGCCCGCCGCGCGGGGCGGGGCCTCGCCCGCACGGCCGCCAATCAGCGCCCGCCACCCCGCCAATCACCGCCCGGCCCCGCCCCACCGCGCACCGCCCTCCCCGGCCCCGGGGGCGCGTGACTCCCGTGTGTACGCCGCGCGCGGAGGGGCGGGGCCGGGCGCGCGGCAGCGGCCAATGGCGGCGGGGCCCGGGGCAGGAGGGGGCGGGGCCCTGGGAGGGGCGCGACCAATGGGGGCGCGGTGCGGCCGGCGCGCGGGGCGCTCGGCGCGAGCGGCCCCGGGAGCTCCAGCGCGGGGGGACGGGGTGCGGAACGGGCCCCAAGGACCCGCTCCCGCCTCTCTCCCGGCTCCCACCGCTCCCACTGCTCCCACCACCCGGCTCGCAGCGGCCGCCGCTGCCCACGGACCCGCCGCGCCTCTCGTTCCTCTCGGAGGCCCCGGAGCGCCGTCCCCCGTGCCTCCGCCGCGCCGGTCGGCGGTCGCGCAGCGCCCCCTGGCGGACCCGCCGCGCCCCGCAGAGCGGCCCGACGGGGCTCATCCCGGGATCTGCTGGCGCCGGGGGCGGCTCTCCTCCACGTGCCCCTTTCCAGGTCGATTCGGTACCGTGCGGCTGCCAGAGATCGAGCCGTCTCGCTGTGCCCCGCAGGGCTCCCCGCCTCGGCATCTCCTCGGCTGTGTCGCGCCTGAGAGCGAAATTAACCACTGGGTATTAAATTTAAGCCGCGCTCCTCCCTCACCTCACCTCTGCTCAGCCGCCCCGTGCCGAGGTTCGGCGTGAGCGGGGCCGAGGTTTGGAGTTCCCATCGGGGATGTTCGAAGCCCCTCCAGTTGCCCCCTCTACTCATCCTCAGTGCATGGATTCACGGAGGGCTGGCAGATCCGATTCAGGAAAATACCTGTAAATTAGTGTGTCCTCGTGTCCCACCACCCTGAGAGCCTTGCTGTTCCCGAGGCCTCGGCTGCTGTGCAGCGATCCCAGATGGGACAACAGACACCTGATGCCTGGCCATCATTGCTCCATGTACCTCAGTTATGAGGGATACGGAATGCAGGACACAGTTCAGCGTCCCTGAGACACAGCCAGAGTGGAACACTGGGAGCTGTCGGTGGTGGCTGAGATCCTTTAGAGGAGGTAAAACAGCCTCCCCTTCATTTAAGTGCTTGGAAAATGGAAGAGTAAAGAATTGCACAGGACGACCCAAAACGGCAGGGAGCAGAGCAGAGGGGTCTGTAGCCACAAAACTTTCCTCATCCCAAATCTCATTCAGCTCATCCTGAGGGAGTTCCGCAGGTCTGCTCCCCCCAGAGAGGTGACAGGTGTCCCTGAGCCACAGTGACTTCCTGCTAAACAGAGTGAACACGAACTCGGGAATCCCTTCCCTTTCACCCCAACTTTGGGCTGCTGCCCTCACAGCACTTTCCCTGCCTGCCGCAGGAGGACAACAATGCTGCAGATCTCACACTGGGAGAACAGGATTTGGGGCATCTCTACAGTCACCAAAACACCCAGATCAGGGTGTTGGACAGATTGTTTTGGGGTTCCTCACGTGGGACGAGGCTGCAGGACCTCCTCTTTTCATGGATTGAGGGCTAAAATTGCCAAGGTTGCACAGGCACAAGCAAAGCCTGGTAGACAGGAGACCCCCACATCCACAGTCTGGTGAAGATCCCTACTCTAATGCTCCAGATCAAAGGCAAGTCCTCTTACCTGCTTCCTCCCAGACATGCTGAGAATTTGGAAAAAAAAAAATAGTGCTGTGCAAATGCAGTGGCATTTAAGCTGTGGCCTTTTTCCGTATGCACACAAGAGGGGAGACTTCACTGGGGGTGCATCTCTTCCCAGGCAAGTTGAAAGGACTCAGCAGGAATTTCTGTCTTTTTAATGAAGGAGTTTGCAGGTAGGACCCCCCGCCCCATCTGCTCTTCCATTCCCACTGGGAAGGCTGTCTTTGATAGCAGGAGCTAATTGCTGCAAACTTCCAGGGATGAGCTGTTTGGAGATTTTGAGAAAGTCTTTGTAAGTAATAGAGGAAGAGAGCTATACAGGGGGGCATTAAACAGCCTCTTGGTGGTATTTTCAGCAGGTCTCATCACTGAGGTCACTCCACACAGTTTCAGAGCTCCTCTTGCCTACTGATCACAGCCACCCCCAAGGCTGCTCTGCAAGGGACCCCTACCTGAAACCAGCTAATACATGCCCTGATGATCCAGATAACACCAAAGATTCTTTTTTAAAATTATGGCATTACTCTAAACCCAACAACTTATGAGTTTTTGTACATCCAATAGGTCAGGCTAATAGTCTTAATTTCTTAATGGCCAGTCTTCGTGAGCGAAGATCCGGGGAAGGTCTTTCCACCTTCCAGCCTGCGCATTGGATTTTTTAGGTGAGACACAGTGTGCGCGGAACTGAGCCCACCCTTTAATCCTAAGGTTCATCTGCCGGGGCCAAGCGAGCTTGGACGGTGGCAGTGAGGTCCTTAGGACGTAGGTGGGTTGTCTTTAAGGGCTAACGAGCCCCACCTGCCCGGGAGTGGCCCTGACCGGGAATCGAACCCGGAACCCCCCTGGCTAATAGTCTAGACCAAAGCCAAAGGGACAGGCTGGCAAGGAGACTTTCCAGAAAACCATATTCAAGGGCATTACTTATATATTTAATCTCTAAAATATTAGTTAATTGCTGCCCTAGCCAGGCCAAGCATTCCAGGCTGATATACCTGTTTCTGGACCTCCCATCACTGTGTGACAGTCGGGTACTACCTGTTCGCTCATGCTTTCCATTCCAGGTGTGCTGGAAATGCCTCCTGAACACCTGGACCCTCCTCAGCCACCGCTACTGCTACTGCAGAGCATCCTTGGCACTGGGCCACAATTATTTGTTAACCCAAATTCTATTGTTTGCTTTCCATCTTCCCCCATGCCACACCAAGACAACATTTAAATAGCATAGACGTCCCTCCTGGAAAATAAGTGCAAGGGTGGTTGGAAATGGTCCCTCATTTCCAAGCACAGCTGCTCATCCAAGGGCTGTTCAGCCCCCAGCCTTTCCCAAACAGCATCTGCAAGCCAGAGCGTGCAGGATTCATGCTGGGCAGCAGGAATGCAGCCCATCACCTCCCACCGCAGCCTCGAAGCCCTCTCTCTTTGCCCGCTACAGGATGGGGCCAGACGCGATTCTGCTTTTCCAGAAGAGCCGTATTTCCCTGCGAAACTCCGCAGATAAGATGCCTGCAGGGGACTCGAGGCTTTCCCACTAGATGGAGTCCGGGGGAAAACAGAAACCTCAGCGGCGCTGCACAGGGAAGGAGAGAGCAATTCCATCTCCTGGAATGAGCTGCAAAGCATGGGGAGCTGTGCGTGGGACACCCCTGCCCTGAATGCAAACAAAAGGGGACATCCCTCTGCACCCTGTGTGCCACGCTGAGTTCTTCACAGAACAGCAGGACTGGCCAAGCCCCCAGGAGCTGACCAATTCTTCCTGTCCACCACCCTGGGGAGATGCTCACCCCACAGGCAGCTGGCATGGACTCTGCCTGGCAGATGCTTGCATATGGAGGGTTAGCACGGGGAGATGAAAAGAAGGAAAAGAGCAACTGGGCTGCTTATTGCTGTGCCTTTCACTTCTCAGAAGCATTTAGATCTCAGCTGCGGGCCCCCAGGACCAAAAACTGGAGCCAGGCTGGCACAGGGGGGGAATGCTGCAGGATCAGGTCCCCACAGGCTCAGCACCAGCACACGGCTGCTGCCAAGCACACATGCGACCTATCATCCCATGTACAGGGACCCACAACCCTTTTCCCACGGAGACTGTCCCTGCCTGTGTGCCCAAGCCATGTGGCCACTGCCAGCCCCACAGCAAGGGGCCCCACAGGACAGCTGTCAGTCCTTACTGCACCCAGGCACAACCTGCCCCACAGCCCTGACAGGGAAGCACAGCACCCCACAGGCCCTGTGGGCCCAGCCACGAGCACACAGCCTCTGAGCTCACACATTTATTTGCTCTCTGGTGGAAGACACACCGCTGGGGCCGTGTTCTGCTGCCTCGCTGGCATCTGCTGGTGTGTGGGCACTCAGCAGCACCCTGGGGAACCATAGGTGCCACGAGGACAGCAGGCAGGACCTGGGGCTGCCAGCTGCTCCAGCAGCTGGAAGGGATTGCAGATCTTCTCCTGGAGGGCAGAGAAAAACCCAGGGCAGGATCAGACCAGAGGGAAGCAAGAGGTAACCTGAGAGTGGCATTTCCACCTGGCTCAAAACCTGCCAGCACAGAGCAACCCAAGCAGACGCCCCTAAGCTCCTGGCTCACTCCAGCTGCTTTTCTCTGCTACAGGGAGGAAGCCAAGAGCTTCCCTGGGACTATGGTTCTACTTTTATCTGAGAAATGCCTCCTGCTTGGACTGAGACCCAAGAACATCTGCCCTCCCCAAGTACAAGGCTGCGTTTCAGGGATACGCAGCTGCAGGGCGTTATCTCCCTTGCCTGTCCTGGCCCATCTACAGGCTGGAGGGACCACCAAGGAGAAGAGAGAGGTTTCGAGCAGATAGAGTGCTTTGTGATGCAAGGTCAGGGTTGGCAGACAGGAACAATCTGCTCTCCCATCAGCAGCTGGGAGAACAATGGGCAGGAAGGAGCTGCAGGGATGGACCATCACCTCCTAGGGCAGGCCCTACACAGCCATTCTGCTCAGTCTCTCCACTTGGGAGACCTCAGAAAAGTCCAGCTATCAGCCTTGCCAGTCCCCACGGACATGCTGGGGGGGGAGCAAGGGATTCTCACACCTGGTGATTAGAGCAGATCCCCCTTTGGAAGGCTATGACTTGGGCTGGGGTACAGTTTGTCCACACTTAGCACCAGGCACCAACCTTGGTGCCCCATGGGCTCCTGCCTGGTCCAGAAGGACTCAGATGTCTTGGTATCATGCCATAGCCCCCCTGATACGCCAGGGCAACTCTGATGGCATGGGACACCCCCGTCCCCATCCCTGAACCCAGCCACGGAGCTGCCTGCTACCAACCTTCACCCCCTTGCAACAGTTGCCCTGCAGTGCTGTGGCACTGGCGCCGGCTCGGATCAGGAATTCCTCTGCAAACCTGGAGCTTCGCAAGATCGCAGCCATCTCAGCATCCACGTCCACCACCTCTCCTTCCTAGGGACAGAGGAAGAGTCACAAGGCTGGGGTCCTAGATATGTGTCCCAAGGGACTCCAGCCGCCCATGCAGATTGTGGGGGGAGCAAAAGCAGGGGCAGATCTTGGTGCAGAACTGTAGAGAAACACCCACAATAACCAAGCAGCGGGCTTCAAACCCTCTTAGGAAGCCACCATGGATGTCCTGCTTCTACTTTTACTGCAATACAGTGCATGGATCTGTATCCCTTTCCTACCCCTTTGCACTCCCCTGGGTTTATACAGCCCCTCTGCTCCCACTCATCACCCCTTTTACCAAAGCTTGCCCCCCAAATCACAGAGGACGCTCCTGAGTAGCACTGCTTCATCCACTTTAACCCATCCCTACAGACCAGGACTGCTTGCAGGACTCCCTGCACCTTGAAAGTGAAGTTGGCATCAAACACCAGCTCTCGCTCGTGCCCCACGATCCCACCGTTGTAGATGACCTGTGCTGGCCCAGCCCGGCTGCCACCTGGCACCTTGAACAGGCGGAAAGTCGCAGAAACAAAGCGGCAGTCTCCTGCAAGGGGGAGTTTGGTGGGCTGGGCACTGAACACCCAGGTTGGGATCCAGCAGGGCCTGGGATCCCAGCACAATTCCCCACAGCTGCCCAGAGCTGACACTCCCTGCTTGGACCCTCACCAATGATGCCCTCCAGCTCCTTGTCTCCGACGGTGATGGGGCTGGCAGTGACCAGGCACGGGGGGCTGAACCCCACCTCCTCAGCGATGCTGTACAGGTCTCTCCAGTACAGGGCTCCTGCCAGGCACTCCCCTGGCATGAGACCACAAACAAAGGCTGGATGGAGGCAGAGGTCCAGCCCCCATCCCATTCCCCCATCCCGGAGCCCTACGCACCCCACAGCACCCTGTGCTTCCGGACGGTCTCGCTCAGGCGCTGGCTGGCATAGACGTCGCTGAAGTACATCTCTCCCCCGGGCTGGAAGGCAGCGAGGAGTGAAGGGAGACCCCCAAGAGGGTAAGGGACAAAAAAGGTAGGGGAAATTGGGAACTCCCTAATGCTACCCTGCTTGGGACCCTCTGCAGAGGTACCCTCCCGTGGCCCCATCCCGTGTCTCTACTTTGCTACATCCCATTGGCTGCTTCCCAGTGGCACCCCAACAGCAGGGCCACCCCAAGCCTGCTCTGCTGCCCTGGGCACAGGCCCAGCATCACCTTCAGCACGCGGAAGGCCTCCTGCAGCACAGCCCTCTTGTCAGGGGCAAGGTTGATCACGCAGTTCGAGCTGGAAAGGAGGAGACTGAGGCGTATTTGCACCCTTTTGCCCACTTAGCACCACCAGCTGCTGCACATCCACCAGCTGCTGCGTGTCCCATTGCTTCACACAGGGTTTGGAAACACTGATTTGACCATGAAAAGGGCAGTGTGCATATTCCCAGACTCTAGCCCAGGGTCTTCCTTGGTTTCCCTTTTGCTAACACATGCTTCTGAAGCAGGTGACCCAGTGGGATGTGGACCCAGACCCCAACCCACAGCCCCGGGGAGCAGCAGGACTGGGGGTGACAGTGCCCTGCATGGTACCTACATAACAATATCGTAGCTCTCATCAGCCAGCCCAGCATCACCCAGCTTCTCCATGTAGCCATGGAGGAACTCCACATTCGGCTTTTGGTAGCCAAACTTGTCCATGTGGTAGGCAATGTGCTTCTTTGCCACCTCAACCTGGCAGGAGGACAGGAAAAATGGTGGGGGGCTGCTGAGAGGATGAGGGGAAGCCCCAGCTCTGCACTGTACCTGGCCCTCGGTCATATCTATGCCAGTGACGTGGCCCTGCTCCCCGACCAGCTGGCTCAGCAGGTAGCAGTCTCTGCCGCTGCCGCTGCCCAGGTCCAGGATCCGGCATGAGAACAGGCACTCCGGGATCACCAGCCCACAGCCGTAGTACCTGGGCGGATGCTGAGCTGAGCTGGGCTGGGCAGAGATGCCCCCATGGCATGGCTGTCCAGGGGGCTGCAGCCCATGGGGACACAGCAGCAGGGAGAGATCCCAGGGTTTACCTGGCCACCACTTCCTCGTGGACATGCTCCAAAGCATCTCTCACCGCCTTGGGAAGGGGCCTGGCTGAGGTGACACACGCGTTGGTTCTGAGGTCTTCTGACTTCTGCAGCTCTTTGCCATAGTAATCCTGAGACGGGAAGAACAGGGACCAGTAAACTATGGCAAGTTGTGCCCTGGGAACTTCCCATGCCCCAAAATATGGGCGCCATGCCTGTGCTCAGCCTGTACATTCCCCAGTGTCCTCCAGCACTGGCATTCTCATTTCCACCCAGCTAAAAATTAGACTAAAATCACATATTCCCTTGACCCCATCCTCCCTAGCTCCCCTTGCTCACGTGCACAGATGTGTTTGTGCAGGAGAGAATTTAATTCCCATTTGCAATAGCTTTGCAGGCTGCAGTCACCACTTCCCTGGCCGAGGAGGGTGCGGGGAATGAGGCAGGGAAATGCCAGGTTGCTCAGCCCCCCCATCCCTGTGGGCAACAGGAGCAAATAAGCTGACTGCACCTGGGCAGTTTTCTTCTGGGACCCAAACAAACTTTATCCTCTGATGGCAGCAGGGACCCCCAGCACAGCCCGGGCTCACATGCTCACATCCCCTGTCCAGCCACCCCAGCCCCCCCACCAGCTCCCGTAGTGCCCCTCACCTGCACCTCCTGGTGGATCTGCTCTCTGCAGGGAGTTGCCACTGCAAGGGGAATGTAGGGCTGGTGCCTGACACAGAGATGGGCACCACACTAGGCTCTCCTCAAGGCTCTGAACCCCCCCTCTTCTCCCAGATACCAGAGCACTTTTTTGCTCTCCCCCAGTAGAACCTAGAGACACCCCAAAACTTGAAGTATAGTAGGATAGTCCTGGGAGCATCTAATAACATTCCCCCTCTCCACCCAGAAACACCATCCCAGTTGCCCTGGAGGGACTACCCTCCAAAACAACCCTGTAGGGGTTGTTAGAGGTGTAAATCCCCTCTCCCTGCTTTGCAGAGAGCCCTCTGGCCCGAGGGTGCCCCCAGAGCAGTCCCAGCACCCACAGCAGAGGCCCCTTGCTGCCCTACTGTCTCCAGCTGCAGCGCCTGGGATGGACTCTGCCCGGCCTGGGCCATGCTCCGCCCCAGCATCCCGTGACACCCCGGGCCTGGCTTCCATCCCACACCAGCTCCTGCCTCGCCCAGACCCCAGGCACCTGGCACTGCAGGGACACAGGCATGGCGAGGGGAGTGGCCCCAGTCCCTCGGTGGGCACGACCCCATCGTTAAGGTTGTGCCTGCATCCACACCCCCAAAACCCACCCTGCTGCCTGCCCCCCCAAAACAGCTCTGCACCTCCATGGTGCTGCCCCATCCCTGCTCGCCCCAAATGCAGGGAGACTCAAGTTTAATGCCACAGGGCTGCTCCAGCCTCTGCAGAGGACAGGACCTTGGACGGGATGAGCCACCTGCAACAAGGACACACTGCCTCTGTGAAGACCCCTGAGCTGAAGCCCAGTGGGGGACACTGGGGTGCAGAGACCCACCATCCCAAACAGTCTCCCTGCCACACAGGAACCGCCACTGCTGGCATCCAACACAGACTCCACTGCAATCTGGTGGTGTTCAGGACAGCTTTTATTCCCAGCAAGAATACTGCAGCTTCTCCAGCAGCTCAGGGAAAACCCTCAATCCCCCTGCAAAGCTGGGGATCAGGACCCCACCCAAGGCAAAAATACCTACCATGGCCACTGGGCTAACAGTGGTACCTTCACGGGGATGCAGGAACTGAGGTGCCATTATGTGAAGCCCAAACAGGCAGGCCCTGGTAGGAATGGTGAAATCCAGCCCAGGAGAAGGCTCTGCAGCACAGGAGCCAAACCCCAGCAGTGCTCCAACAGGAATGTGACAGGCCAATGCCCACTCTCAGCCTGACTGCTCCTATCAGCTGGTGAAAAGCACACTCAGGGAAACAAGTGCTTCCCGTGCACTCCAAGTGCTCCAGATAAGTGACATATCAAAAACAAGACACTGTGTTTATAGCCTGGCCTGGTGTCACTCCCCAGGATGTGAACAGTCCTCAACAGAGTGGTGCAGAACCAGGCACACCAGCTCATGATGCTCTCCTGCCTACTTCCCAGCCGGGCCTTTGGATACCTTCCCAATCAGATACAAACACATCACAGCCAAGGCTGCTTCATCAATAGCTGGAGCAGCAGCCCAGGGAAAGGAATGCAGTTGAAGGCTGAATGCAGCGCAGATCGGCTGGCAAGGGCCTGATGTTCCAAACTCTGGCAGAGTGGAAAATAAGATAACCTCCAAGCAGGATGCTGGCCAAACAACATCCAGCTAGACCACTGGCAGAGGTGTGTGCCCAGATTCCTGGTTTCAGAAGTTCTGGGCTGGGACTGGCACTTCAGCCAACACTGACACACCTCTCACTCACCCAGGCACTTGCAGCTCCCACTGATTAATGTGCCCTAAATAAACTGCACTCCGTGCCACCTCTGTGGCTAAATACAGACCAGTGGCAAGCTGCAGGTACCCGCATTTAAACCCCACAGTTCAACTCTATGCATTTCTTGCCAGGGTTGCTGGTGTGAGCAGAGCACCTCACCCTACATGGGAAGGAAGCGGACACAGGAATTGCTGGGGGAGCAAAGCTGCAGGTGAGTTAGTTTCAGCTGGGCACAGCTGAGCATTCCAGAGCAGAGGTATGGATGGAGGCACATGAAAGGGGACCACATGCCCAGAAACACAGACTCTACATATCCCAGCTGACATCCAGCATGATCCAGACACAGTTCTGAACCCCAAGGGCTGGATGGTAGAGGATGCTTTGCTTCCCTCAGTGCCAGTTGAGACATCCTCGTGTCTTCAGCTTCCCTTCACTTCAGCAAGTGATTCAGCTGGTCCTGAAGGTTGGATGACCGTTCAACACTGGGGACCAAGAGAGATTCAGAGTGAGATCTGCTCCCCAGACTGTGCTGTGCTGCCTGTGCCCAAGGGACCAGAGAGGCTCGAGAGCTGACACTACAGCAAAGGGAAACCCTGGGGCTCCCCAACCCACCTCTGTGCCCCACAAGGCAAGCCTCACTTTGTGTACCCTGCTCTACACAGCTCTGCTCCACACCATCCCCATCTCCTATCAATGAATAAATTGATGGTAAAAATCACATCTCTTTACTCAAATTCCCATCTCTTCACAATACTGAAACGCTATCCTGCTGGGCCAGCACCTGCTTCAAAGGCAGCTGCAAACACCTTTCCACTCTGCTTTCTGCTGTCCTACTCCATCACTTTTCCCTTTCCACACCCACATGTCCCCCAGAGTGGTACTCACTTCTTTTGAATTGCTTCTTGCCTAGATGAGAAAAGGAAAGACAAAAAGAGCATTACAAAACCAAAATCTCAGTCATGGTGTTATGTCAAAGAAAAGGTACTTGAACAACAGCTCAGGAGACACACAGAAATCCCCTGTTTCTGGATTAAGTCCTGAGGGACAGCAGTGGCACTGGTTTCTTCCCCTTAGCCCCAAATGTGTCACACACGCTCACGGGAGACAGGGTGTATGGCAAACAGGAGGCAAAAATCTCAGCTCCCTCTCTAAAACAGCCTGAGCTGTACCAGTGGAGCTGAAGAGGGCTGGAAAATTCCAGCTCCAGGGTCTGCTCAGCTTTGAAGAACTGGAAAAGAGGGATCGGTCTGAGTGGGCTTCATGCAAAGTCTTTAAGGAGAACAGAAAAAGACTGAGGGATCCACTCAGTCCCAAGAGAGAACATGGTGTTCCCTACTTACTGGTACTGTAGATGAGTGGTTATTATGGCCATTTTTCTTAAACTCTGTGGAGAACGAAACAAAGAATGAATGCCTGCAGAATCACAGTGCAAGCTGTCCCAATACCCTGGTGAGTCACAGCCATCACTGTACCACTGCCCTGCCCACAAAATGCCCCCGCCACTATCCCTCAGCAGTGGCACACTCTCCTCTTCTTCCCCAGTGACAGGCACAGATACAAGTGCTTTGTTTCAGCCCACAGTCCCTCCAGCTTCCCATCAGAGAGGTCACAGCTTGAGAGCTGTCCGGGCTGCAGGGCACTGGGGGGCCAGTGGCACACGTGGGTTTGAGGAAGCACTAAACTATTCTGGTCACCAGCCCTGCTCTTAATGCATGTATTTCACTTCAGGGCTCCGGGAGCACATCTGCAAACCCTTCTAACCACCCTCCCCTGCTCCTGCCCCTGGAATCACTGTTGCTCGAGCAGAATAACACAGCTTACATCTTCTGAGTGCAGGATGGCATCTTCTTGCATCACCATATTTCTCGCAGCTTGACCCAGGAGCTAAAAGACAAACGCACAAACCAGGCTGTGAGGAAGCAGCTCTACATTTCCGAGGCGCCTGCGACGGCTCGTGGGTGACACTCGTGGTGACACCCCGGGGAGCACCGCAGTGCCCTGGGCACAACATCCATCGGGAGAGTCTGAGACACCGCTCCCGCCCGTCACCCTGAGAGACGGCGGGAGGCAGGAGCAGCCTCCCGCCTCCCAGCGCTGCCGGAGGCACCGAGAGCCCCTCGGCGCTGCCCAGCCGTGCCCGCATCCCGGTCCCGCTTCCCGGTCCCTGCCCGGCACGGGGATGTGTCCCCGCCTTGGACTACAGCTCCCAGTGTGCCCCGCGCCGCCGTTCCCGGCGCTCCGCTCCGCACCGGCGGGGCTCGCCCGGGCCCTGTAACCGGCTGTCCGCCGGCACCCGCCGCTCACCTCGGCGCTTCGGGAGCCCTTCAGCACCTGCTTGGTGAGGGCGATCACATCAGTGCCGCAGCTCGTCACCTTCTCGGTCAGGAGCCCCTTCACCGAGTGCCCGAAGCGCGCCTGGGCGTCCGCCGCGCCCCCCGCCGCCATCTTGCCCCGCCCTGCCCGTCCCGGAGCCGCTACGGCGAGCGCCGGGAGCCAGAAGGATCGCGAAGGCGAAGGCCCCGCGGTGGGTGGAGGCGGTGCTGGGACGGGCTCCTGTTCCCAAGGGACTCCGACAGGACACCTCAGTCTCGGACATCACGGCGGGCACGGGCACCCCGAGGCTGCCCAGGGCTGACCAGCACTGACCAGCACGGACTAGCACTGACCAGAGTTTCTCAGAACTGACCAGTGCTTCCCCTGTACTGCCCAGGTCTGACCAGCGCTCACCGGCACTGGTGGAGGCTGCCCAGCACTGTCAAGTGCCGCCCGTTGCTCCCCATCACTGGCCAGGGCTGACAGCCAGGGATGCTCAGAGCTCCTCAGCATTCCCAGCCCTGACCAGTGTTGTCCAGGGCTTCTCAGCACTCCCACTACTTACCCAGCGCTGTCCAGCCTTCCACCCCCGTGCTGGTCATTGCCTCCCGGGCACATCGAGGCGCTCCCAGGGTGGGGACGGACCCCAGTGCCCCACCAGCACCCACAAGCTGTGCCCATGGCATCCAGGACAGACCTCGAGGGCTCGGCTGTCCCCTCACCCCCCACAGGGCCCTGGGGATGGAACCCCAAGGACAGACCCAACCCCGGGCATCCCCTGGCCCCCAGCCCGCTGGATGCAGCTCCCCCACGGCCACCCAGCGCGGCCGTGGCCCCGCTGCCCTCGCCCCCCGCCATGTGCCCACAGCTGCAGAGCTGGCCACGGGCCCAGGCCCGGCTCCCCCCTCCCCGTCCCCCCGATAAGGAGCCGGGCCCGCCTCAGGGTCAAGGCGCGGCCCCCGCCGGCGCTATAAGGGCCCCCCGCGCTGCCGCAGCCCCTCAGCCGGCCCCGCCATGGCGCTGCTGGGCGCCCTGCTGCTGGCCCTGGCCCTGCTCTGCACATGGGGGCTGGCGCGACGGCGGGACCCCTCGGGAGCAGGGACGGGGACGGGGACGGGGACGGGGCTGGGGCGCCCGCGGAGCCTGCCGGCGCTGCCGATCGTGGGGAGCCTGCTGCAGCTGGCCGGGCACCCCCAGCTCCACCTGCGGCTCTGGCGCCTGCAGGGACACTACGGCAGCCTCTACGCCCTCTGGATGGGCTCCCACTACGTGGTGGTGGTGAACAGCTACCGGCACGCCAGGGAGGTGCTGCTGAAGAAGGGGAAAGACTTCGCCGGACGGCCCCGCACCGTGAGTCGGCGGCAG